TATTATGATAATATTTCTCACCCTTCTGCTAGAATGATGTCCTACATGACATCGTGCAGGTATCAAGGAGTAGTACTGCTTATAGTTGCGAGGTTGTTTTGGCATAGTTGTTTAGTAATTGATTATGTTGGGTCGAGTCATGCTCTGGTCATGTAACACTGGATCGCTTGGTTTATATTGTAGTGATATACTATGTTTTTATATTATTGAGATATTATGATGTTGGCCTTAGTGCCCAAACGATGTTGGTTTATGTGATGAACACAGATGTTTCCGTTAGGGGTATTATGTTATAAAATAAATCCGCTGCTACATGCAAAGTGAAATTTTGTAAAGCATGATTTTACATTGAAATGTTAATGAGCATGACAGGTGATTTTGATGTTTTGGAATTTATGTGTGACACCCTTTTGTAAATGCATGACAATTTACTCTGATTATTCATATGTTTTCCGTGGGGTTTAGGAGGGTGTTACACTTAAGATACAAGGCTGATTGAACTTCTTCAAAGCTCGCGGACTCCCTTCCATACAAGAGAGTTTCTTTGAAGTGAGCATGTGTTATGGGCAAAGCACACAACAACAACAGTGCTTGATCTTCATCATCGATCTTCGTATCAATATTTTCAAGATCAAGAATTAGTTTGTTGAACATATCCAACCATTCAGTCAACACTTTGTCTTCACTCATCTTGAATGAATACAAAGCTTGCTTCAGGTAGATTCGATTCACCAGAGATTTGGTCATGTACAAACTTTCAAGTTTCAACCATAACCTCGATGTCGTAGTCTCCTTTGATACCTGTCGAAGAACCTTATCACCAAGGCTCAACAATATTGCGATGTGTGATTTCTCTATCATGATCATCTTTTATTTTTTCGTTAACGTAACGTCCATGGCTGCCTCTCCCTTCAACGCTTTCAAACAACTCTGCTGAACCAGTAGGGTTTTCATCTTTAAGCACCACAGACCAAAGTCGCTCACTCCGATGAACTTTTCAATGTCATACTTTGTTGAAGGCATCTTCTCCATGTTCACCGCACCAATTTGTTGTGAATAAAAAAGCCTTGAAACAAAATATACTCAGTGTCTTTATGATCAAGAAACACACAAGGGTTAGGGTCAAGGAAAAACAAGGAGAACAACAAGGATTGGTTATAACTGATATTCTTTACTTTCTCTATAAAACATATTACAAGTACTCAAGAATAAAAAATAACCCTCTCACCCTAATTAGGTTTTATCACACCACCCATAAGATGAGAGACTAATATGTTATTTATAATAAAACATAACATACTAAACTAATGGGCTTTTTAACAATTACCCATTACAAGCTAACTTAAACAATTGGATCCTTAACACAAGGCTCAATTCGACAACTACATACTAGAACACAATTCGACTACAACATGTAGGTCTTCGAAAACAGCATGTGAGCAAACTTTGACGACATGCTAACTAGAGTTTGATCCAGTATCTCACACCTGTTTTTCACATAAAATATTAATTTTCTTGTTTTGATCATAACTTTTAATCCGTAAGTCTAAATGATGTCCCGTTTGAGGCGTTGGAAAGCTAACACTCAGACTTACGTCATGCTATTTCTTGGTGTAATAATTGAATGATATTCAGGTGTCTAAAGTAGGCATGTTTATGAAGGTGTGTGGGATCGATTATCGACTCGTTGCGTTATCATAATGAAATAACATGATTGTATGTTTATGAATATGCATACGTTTAATGTTGTTGGTTGTAGTAATATTCATTAATGTTGCATATGGTGTATGAAGTTATGATGATGTTGTTAATGATGTTGCATGTTCAAATATATGCATGCTATTTTGATGGTAATGATGTTGTTGGTGGCATACACGGTCAGAAGAGAGGCCAATGTGTATGTGTTATTTTGTTGCATTTTGAGAGTCCATGCATTCATGTTGTCTGAACTTCGGTTCTTTTTTATGAGCCTTGATCTTATGGTGGTGGATCGGGTGCGATTAACTAATTCCTATTATGGAGAATTAGTGAAGTGTTACCTATGATGATGGTAGTGATTTTGGTTTGCTCTGGTTCTAAGAGGGAATCGATCCTATGGCGGGGATCATGGAGTGAAATGGACCTGAGTGTTCATAATTTTGGTACCACATGCATGTTGAGTCAATTATCAAGTACATATGCATTGTGTTGCATCGGTGATTATTTTTGGTGTTATGTTGTATGGATGAGAATACTTGATAGGTCAATGTTAAATTAATTAGTGTGTGCTTGTTGTTAGTTAATCTACTTTCGATTGTTTTTCACCACTAATTATTGAAGTATATTCTCACTCCCTTCTGTTTGAATGTTGTCTTTACATGGACATCATGCAGATACTCAAGAGTAGCACTATTGAAGTATGGAAGCCAACTCATGAAGTTGCTTCGTAGTTTAGCGCTTTATTTATTAGCGTCTTGCTCTGATTATGTAACATTGGGTTGAGAATGCTTTTTTAATTTTATGACATGTTTATGTTGAAGTCATAAGACTAATTTTGTTGTTATGCATTCTTAAGCATGTTGAGTGGATTGATTACAACCATTTTATTTTGTTATTAAAGTTGAAGTTTGAACCAAATATCATTACTTACCTTACCTTCCATAATTGTTGATGATATTTCAGCTGCGATGATACTTTAAAATGGAAGTGAGCATGTGATATCAAGTTTAATGTGAATTGATGTAACCCGTGTTACAGAGCAGGGTTTTATTTTGATGTGTCTGACACCCTATGTGGTTGTATTTATAATTAAATTATGCGATAATTGATTGTGCGGTTTAAGGTGTTACAGTGCTCTTCCGCGAGGGTTACTTGGCTGAGAGAACTAGGAAACATGTTTTAGACAATATCAAAATTGTTGTTAATACCATAATTTGATCCTCTAGAATATGAAAATTTACCTTTAGATGAACAAACGAGGAGGCTACTTATAGGGTTTCTAGTGTCGGTCTCCCAAGGACGTAATCATAAACAGACCTATTTGATGATCAGGAACTTTTATCCTAATGATTCTCATATATTCTCTAACGTTAAAGGCCACCGAAAGCTCAACTTGTCCTAAAGATTTGGTGATCATTTTGTCATAATCTTAGAGATTTCCCCGTAGTATGGTTGTAGAATTATATGCAAACCCAGTTTTTAGTAAATCTCAGTATCTATGATATCACATGATTTTCCCTGTCTCCCAATACACGATGAACATTATGACCATCCATCGCTAGAGAATTGATATGTGGTGGTTTGAAACGTTGTTGGCAAGTTCGACGTCATAAATAGTTAAAGAGATGTATCTTGCTTATGAGTGTGTTCTTACTTAGGAAATGGATTCCTTCAGGGCTCCTTTACGAGTGGAAACAATATCTCTCGTCAGAAAGCGAGTGGTAATTGTCGACGACAAAGGTCTGGTGAAGACCCCTTTCACGCTACTAAGGTGCGAGTTTATGGGTAGGTTATCCTAGCTAGTGCATAATTGTTTCTCGGCATAAGCCACAGTGGAAATATCTCCTAATCATTTGAATATTCTTTTGAGAGATCAATTAATGTTTTGAAGGAAAGTTAGATTTGGGTTATCCCTCGTCTTTGTTGGAGTCCTAACCATTCGACCATCGAGTGTAGGTGTGCTACCGGAACATGTCATCTTATTATGAAGTATAAAAGATAAAAGAATTTGTATATAGCAATTTTCACATATGACACCAATGAGCAAGTTCGACACTAAAGAATTTTGATGACAAACTTAATTTTGGTGAGATAGCAAATTTCAATAGCATTTTCTTTGTTAAATTATAGTTGACATTATGCTGATGTACTTACAACCACTTTGACTTTTAGTCTATCATTCCTCGAGATTCCTTCATTTAATTTATTAGGTCAGTATTTTCTTAATTTTTGCCTGATAGAAACATATTTTAAAAAAAGTTTAATAAAAAAGAAAATCCCTAACATTTTTACCATTGTAACAAATATATCATTTTATAAAAACCACAACCTTTTTTTTATCGTATATACTACCAGTATTATTTTTCATATTATATTATTATATATATTTGGTTAAGCATGTACTAGAATTTTGTATTATCTCCCATACAAGTTATTGAAAGACCTACCTACCTACCACCACATAAATAAAGACCAAGTGCCGGTGCGTTTTCGTTTTTATGCTTATTTTGTCTTTAATTTGATTGTAACGTTCCGCTGAAGCTGATCATGGTCATCCATTAAAAAAAAATATATGAAGCTCATCCAAAAGACTTCGTATTTTAATTTTTATTCTATTTTTAGTTTAAATCGGACTCTATTTCCATCAAAATCACCTCTTAATCTCTCATTTCTAAAACTTAATTTATTGTCATTTCTAAAACTAAAAACTGATTTTCATCGTAATGGAATGATGAAAAGTGTTTTTAAGTTTCTGTTATAATCAAAACCCTCCAAATAGTTCATGAAAAATTAAGATATTTTTAATAGACAGGTAATGACCACAAGACACTTCAAGTCAAAGGAGATTCAAACAAACAACAACATCCGAAATTACAAAATCTTATCCAAATCAACCAGGTGTGTGCTGTATTTATGAGTTGTCAAGTTTATCATGTTTTTTAATAATGAAACCTTAAAATAAAGACACTTGTTTTTGGCAACTTTACTCAACAATATTTCATTACTATTAATCTTTTTCTCTACAAGCATTGATCCTAAATGGAGCAAGAGTGACTCATATAATCAACTTTTCAACTGTTAATCTTAAAGTGTTGCTTTGCCAAGACAATAATTGAAGATACGTTCATATCATGAAATAATAACAAACAAAAGCGTGCAAATAACAATTTCAGTTTAGCTTGGACAGTACTCAAAATTTATGAAAAAAACAAAGACTCTTAAAATATTTACACATACCAAAGGCATGGTAATTCTAAAGCCAGTTAAATTCAGTGATAATCATTGTATAAGTTAAAATTAACTTAGTCTTCTTTGTCACCTTCTTTATACTCTTTGCTTTCTTCACCTTCTGTTGTAGAGCTGCTTGGTTGATTAACCTTATCTTGGTTTGCTACTCTCTGATATTCACCACTGTCACCTCCTTTACCTAAGGTTTGAATAAGCATTAGCACTGCAATCATAAAAACAACTACGTACACCATTCTAATGTCAAAACTTCTTTGGAGATATTGCATAAATGTTGGTCCGCTAAGTGTTTTCTTTACGGTTCTTCCTTCTCTGTATCCTTCTAGAAATTTAGTGATTTGAGTTCCTTGATCCTCTTCCTCGATGTTTTCTGAACCAACAACCTGAAAGTTAATGTCAAAATCAATATTAGCTTCCAATTAGGTTATGAACCTTATGTACATGTAACTAGTATTGTCAACTAAGCAGATACAATGGCGCCGAAACGCATAACATAGTGGAATTTGAACGATCGCTATTATTCCAGAATAAACGATTTCGACCAAAGTTTTCAAATATCGGTTATAGTACTATAGCATAAGTTGAAAAAATTATTTAAAAATCATAGACTTACTGAAAGATAATCATCTTCTTTATCCCAAATGACCATTTTTGGTAGTTTAGAACTGGTATCGAATTTATCAGCAAATTCATCAAGCTGTTTAACTCCAACATAACCAAATATTAAGTCACGGTTCGCAGATGCAGCACCCCTCAATAACTTAACCAGTTCTTTTGATCTTTCTTCATTTTCATCCTCCACAATAGTCAAAACTATTTTCCTTCCATCAGCTTTTATCAACTTTAGTGTCTCATAGGATACAGGCACAACCAGAGGAATGAGATTTTGTTTTACAAAGTCTTCCAGAAAATCATCTGCTTTATGGAGAAAAAACATAACTAATTAAAAGAATCCTGTCATGATGTAGCAAAGCTAAAACGTGTTAATAGTATATTATGAACAAAAGCGAATATTTTCCAGCATAACATAATATGAATAGGAAAAATTAAATAAAATACAGTAGACTTTAAGCAGTACTGATTAGCTCACAAAACCATGGTAGCATCTAGTGAAGAAAGAAAGAAAGGCATTATAGATTAATAACGAGCATTCAAGTTCATATTTAATTTAGAAGTTAAAAAAAAAAGTAGTATTTGAGTTCTCAAATCTACGTCAATTCCAACCCTAAAAAAAGGAAGTCCTTTCAGATGGACCTAATGTACGTTAAAGTTAGATATTGTATTCTCCTATTTATACAAATAGTCATATGATAACCTCAACTAACCAACCAACTAACTAACTTCTATAACAACCCTTAACTACTTTAACTACTCTAACTAACCACTATTCTACATCCTAATAATACACCCCTTCTAAAAACAACTTTGCCCTCAAAGTTGATATCTACCATATTCTTCTTGTTCTATTTGTTGTAGAAAACAAAAGTTTTCCCTCCTGGATCCCATTGTTTGGAGCTTGGTGAGAACCAATTTCCTCTTCAGCCCACTTCGTTTTACACTGATCTTCACTTTCCTGCCATACCCACTAAGTCTGTCTTGCTTTCTCCAGGGTATTCCCAACCAGTCTCTTCCATTGAGACGCAGGGCTCTGTTTTGTGAGGTCATTAATCCCACTGTTGAGATGCATTTGAGCTGAAAATGGATGGAAGACCCTCATACTATTTGGGGCTGGCCCAAAAGATTTGGAATCATTGAACAACTTTGAACTTAAATCTCAGCAGCTGTCACGAGTGACCATCGATCTAGTTTTGGTGGTTTTGCCGGTGGTGAAGGCTAATCGGAGCATCAGAATCCAAACTATTTTGGACATTGCAGTGTATTCTTACCCATTCTTTATCCCTGTATATAGAACTTTTAGATGATGGCGGTGGAATCGGATTGCTTATAAGTACTATGAATGAGTTGTGATTTTTCCCCTTTTGACTCTACACCGGCAAAGACACTCAAAATGACACATTATCACCAACCTTTTCATCACTCTTCTCCATATAACCAAGAATCTGATCCATGTATAATTCTTGCTTCTTCTCTGGTATCTCCATCAATTGCCTCACTTTTTTTAGGAGGTTTTTCCTCTCCCTTTGCACTTCTTACTCCAAGGTTGAAAATCCTTCAACAACACAATTATCATTGCTTGTTCTGAATCTCAAGATCAGATTTGAAGAGAATGACGCCCAACTTGAATTCGGATCCTCTTGACACCAAGAACTGAACCAACGCATGGCTTCTCCCTCCATGCTAATGAAAGCCCATTGCAATTGATCAAACACACAACTTCTTGCTCCTCAAAAATCTTTTCCGCCCTTGCAAGCCACCCAATGGGGTCTATCCCTTTAAAAGTTGGCAAATTCACCCTTGAGATGCCTCCATCTCCAAGAACACTGGCACTTCTCGAAGATCCCACAGGTGGGACCAATTGTTAGGAACCCAAAATTGGATTCCAAAGAAAGAACGCTCTTTATTAGAAAATAGGAAATAACATGAGAGCAAGCTCTCCTCAAGGGTTTCCCCTTTACAATAGAGTTGCTACTCTATTCACAAATGATTTACAACATTCAATGATAATAAACTCTTTATTGTATTCTCCTATTTATACAAATAGCCATATAATAACCTCAACTAACCAACTAACTAACCAACTTCTATAACAACCCTTAACTACTCTAAATACTCTGAATAAGCACTATTCTACATCCTAACAATTTGCAATACGACTCATACCCTATTTGATTTACTAGTAATAATTGGGTCTAGGACAAAAAAAAAAAACTAATGAAACCAAGAGATGGAAATACATGGAGAAGCTATAAATGTCACCCTATCTAATGACATAAAAGTTGCATATAAAGACCCTTGTCTAACAGCTTTTCTGCCATTCAAGTCAAGTGAAACGCATCAACGATTAAAAAATGAAAGAGCTTGGTTTCATACAGCCTTACAATTTTCATTCCTCATAAAATCTGGATGGTGAACTAATTTCCTAACAATAGAATGCAGTAAAGCGACAAACCCAAAAGTAGCAAAAATATTACTTTAAAGTTTCCAAATTATTTTAAAATCCAATCATTGGCAACTTCATGTGTACAAGTTTTCCAGGGAAAAAAAAAGAAGCTGTAGCCTAACAGAGAGTGGTGGCCGGCCGCTATGGGAAGAGCCTTTGCGGTGCAGAACACCATAGTGGCCACCATAGGGTAAATAGCGGGTTGCGGGGGCGGAGCGGTTCCAGACCCAAAGCGGTTTTTGTCCCGCTATTCTTTTTCCCCTCTGAAAAACCAAAATTACCCCTTAAATTTAAAATATTTTAAAGGTAATTTTGGATTTTTCAATCAAATTTGAGTTGCGACTCAACCCAAACCTTCCTTCACCGACACTTCTGCACTTCAACCATTCCAAAGAAAAATTACAAGTTTCTCCCTTGCATCTCTCACTTCATATGTTTATAATTATTATTCATGTAATTTTTCCAAAAAAACAAATGATCAAATAGTGGCCATCCTGCTAAACACTATCCCATTTTTCGGGTCGGCTGCTCCGCGCCTCTCTCTAGGATTGACTACTCTGGCCTAACCTAAACTTTGAGAAAAAACCAGCAAGAGTGTAGGGCAGGCCACAATCTTTCTGGTGTGAATCCAAATAAATTGTTTATAGATCGGCTATGAATTAGTACAAAATGGACCTTAGTTGTAAGGTTCAACAAATAAACACGGTGAAGCAGGCAAGGTCGTCATATTATGAACTATGAGTCTTAGAGATGTACAAATCAGTCTTGGGATTCCACCGAGTAGTAGATATACACTAGCATTTATGAGCTTTGCTCCTTGAAATTGAAATTGATGCCTCTTCGACCAAGAGATTGGGAATTTGTAAGAGGGGGTGTGCTGGGCATTCCTAGGCTCTATCTACATAATAACTTAAGCTTTTAGGAGAGTTAGTCTTTGAAATATACTACTAGGTTTCAGCCCACTAAGCACGCCTAACAAAACGAGCTTCATACAACTTAAAGAAAATAGTGCAATAAATAAATCCAAAAACCATCATTTGTTCATTCTTAAAAAATTAAAATAAAAACAAATCAACCACCAGTTAACTATCAAAGTAGAGTATGCCAAAATCAACTCGGTGTGAAAAAATGTAGATAAGTGAGTTGTACAAACTAGAATGTACAATAAATGTCAAGTGTCCTTGATCACGTGTGAAATAGACTAACCTTCAAAGGGGCCATAAAATGTGTTCCGCTCATTGTACTGTTGATTAAGGGAAACCAATGCAGGAATCTTATCAAAGTCATATGTTATCATGAGATCCTCTGAAAAATCCTTTGCGACAGAAAACCATGCATTTTTCTTATACTTTATGCCTAACTTTTCTATAACCGAACTGTCCAACCCAAAACCAACAAATACCGGGAAAAAAGTACCAGCTTCTTCCACAAAACTATTCACAGCAGAATCCGAGTCGAGAACAGAAACATCAGAAGCAGCAAATTTCTTAAGATAACGAACAAGTAAATCAGCTTTCCTCGGCCCACGGTATTCTGTTGGGACGCCGTGATTAAACAGCAAAATGGTTGGATAGCCACTACATCACAGAATGCCCAAAAAAAGAAACACTTAAAACAAGTTAGGAAGAAATAAATTTGGTTTGAACAAACAAATATTTCCTCCGTTACAAAATGACTGCAGTTTCCGTACACTATTTCCAATACATTAATAAGGTTAATTTAATAAAAGTGTAATCTCTTATGACAATATTACTTATTCCTTTATCTACCTTAAAAAATGAGTGTCGTTTTAGCAAATAAAATTTGCTTCAAAATGAATATCATTCCCAATTTTCAATGTAGAAACGTTTGCTATTTTTCCAATTGTGTCCCTTAATTATTAATTTGTACACTATTTCCAACACATTTGTAAGCTTAAATTAGTAAAAGTGCAATTTCTTATGACAATATTATTACATACCTTAATCTGTATGCAAAAATTTTAAACCACAGTAATTTTGAATTTGAAACGGATGGGAGTATATAAGAAGGAGCAAGGAAAACATACTCAACATTGTGTTTTTTTGCAAGGCGGGTATGCTTGTCTGCATCTACTTTTCCTATGAGTATGGGTTCCTTCAATTTTGCAAGTACAGGTGCAGCTGCATCTAACTGTAAGGCAGAAAACCACATCTTCATTATTGACACTAACAAGAACCTCTTATTTCACATTAATACTCATGTAGTATCTGAAGCACAGACACGTCGAAATGGTAATAATTTTAAAAAATTGAATAAATTAAACATTTAGGAACCAATAAAATCGAATTATACCTAAAAAAGAGGAGTTTCTTTGGAAAGGGGTTGGAAGAGAAAGAGTACCTCGGGAGAGAGACGCTTGCAGTGGCCACACCAGGGAGCGTAGAAATCAACCAAGATGTGATCGAAGGATGAAATGGCGGAATCGAAGTTGGATTCGTCGAGTATCAACACCTTTCCATCCACCGTTAAAGGTTCGGCGGCACGGCAAGAGTGGATCAATAACGCAAGACAAAAAGCAACCCAAATCTTCATCGTTGGATCCTAACAGATCCTTCTTCTTCTCCTTCTTTGATTTTGCAGTGGGAGTGTGTACTATGTATGAATCACTCTCACAAAATAATTGGGATACTAACTGTATTTTTTTAGTTATATATCTTCTAATTAATCTATATTTCTAATCGTATAGTATATATATTTACAAAATTATTAATTCATATAAATGACTCTTTCCACAAAATACTCCTCCAATAATTTGATGTATGGTTTTTTATTAACTTAAATTTTAAGAGCAATGCAATAAATTATAATGAATGATTACTTTTTGTTTTAAATAATTGTTTTGAAATTAAAACATATCATAACTTTAAATGGTAAAATATAGCATACCATTAAATAAAGACAATCAATAGGATATTTATATTTTTTTTTTATATTTTATATGTATTGTATTTTTAAGTTTTTTTTTTACCAAATCAAATTATAAACTAGAGGCTATCCTGATCAAAGTTCAAACTAGAAAGAAAAATGGTTTAGATTTTAACCATGATACACGCTATTTTTTATGTTAAGAGTATCTTTTATGTGTACACTTAAAGTAGATTGATAAATAATCATTTGAATAATAAGAGCCGCAAGTATAAATAAGGTGAAAAGTGTCCATTTTTCTCATTTGATAGTTGCTAATTTAGATATGATCTCACATGTTTTCTGTCAATAAAATTAATTGATTGGTCAAGAAATGCCTTTGAGACTAATAGTGAGAATCAAGTCCCTTGTTTTTTTTTTCTTTTTGAGACCGTCATTTATGGCTACTAATATGCCTTGAATGCTCTAGTACATGTGTCGGTTATGGATTGACCTACTATACATTGGCTCATTAAGTTAAATTAAATTGAACATGCTCTAAGGGATAACTTAAATTTAGGGTGGACTCTATTAAGATTGGGTTCAAGCCCGACCTAACAAATTAGATTGTATACAACCTCTCAAATATGAAGTATGTTGGAGTGAGATGTTATAGGTGAAATATTGGATTCCACAAAGATTAGTAGCATGAGACATGTAAGGGCGAGATGCTTTAGATGAAAAAATTTTGCATAGTTCCTCCAGCATTAGGCCTGAAAGGGCGAGGTGCTTTAGCTGAAAAATTGAATTGTACACAATCTCCCAAGCATGAGGTCTGTAAGGGTGGGATGCTATAGATGAAAAGTATGTGCATAGTTCCTCAAACATAAGGTCCGTAAGGGCGGGGTGCTTTAGATGAAAAATTGAATTGTACACAATTTTCCAAGTATGAGGTGTTGGTGTAAGCCCTAGAGGCCAATACTTTTTGGTACTTGTATCAGATTATTCGTTTAATAATAAAAGGCATTTCTTTATTATGTTTGTCTTTCAGAATAATAAAGTCCCTAGAATAGTTAGTCTGTTTAATGAAATGTTAAGTGTGACTTAATCATGAGATCCCATTAAACATAAAGACATTATTCTTAAAATATCCGTAGTCAAGCTTTATTGCAAAGTGGGATAACATTAAAAGCATTGAGACTATTATGAAGATAGACTGATGATCACATCTCATGGATCATGGATAAAGAGTTATCAAGTCTTGACATAGGTATAAATATTAGGAGTAATATTTATACCGGATTGACCCGCTATGAGAATACTACATAGTATGTTATGCAAAGTGTCATAAGTTATTCTCATGGTGATAATGGTGTATTACCACCCTTCGACCTGAAACCACTATGGACCCTAGATGTAGAGTCGGGTGCTTTATTGCTGATCAAACATTATCCGTAACTGGATGATCATAAAGACAGTTGATGGGCACTCCACGAAGCATGCTGAGGGACATGAGTGTCCTAGATGGAATTTGCCAATCCTGCATAACAGGAGAAATGTCTAAGGGCCCAATATTGAACTGGACAAGGATGACACAGTGTATGCCTTGTGTTCAATATAGACATAGGGGCAAAAGGGTAATTGTACAAACATATATTATCACGAAAAAGGTTTTGTCAGATCACATGACATTTTCGTGACTTGGGTAGCAGTGATGTGTTGCTAGATACCGCTTACTGTTTATTATGTTAAATATATATAATTTAATATAATTACCAACGTTACGAAATCCTACAGGGTCACACACATAAGGACAGTTTGATGAGAAATAGAGAAATCAAAGGAACACCGTAAGGTACGGTGCACTTAAGTGAAAAATAGAAATTCGGATAATATAATAATAATTATTGTTATTTTATAATGGTTATAAAATAATAATAAAATAAATATATTTATTATAATAATAGTTATTATAATAATATATAATATTATTATGGATCATGTGAATTAGGGTTTTAGCCCGCAGCCCACAAGAGAGTCTATAAAAGGAACCCTTGTGATGAAGTTTCACTTGATGCAATTTCGTTTTTGATTCTCTTTTCTCACTCAAATAATTCCGTTCGTAAGCAGCTAGCACTGTGACCGGAAGCTGTTCGTGTGGACTGAGTAGAGGCGTTGCACTTCATCAACGCTTGTGATCGCTGCATCAAAGATCTGAATCGCCACAAAGAGGTAACGATTCTATCACTGACCATGCTCATTCGTGAGGATCACTAAAGGAAAATTTTTGTTTTCCGCTGCGTTTAGATCGCAATTTTCCTTCATGAGGCCTGTAAGGTCGGGATGATTTAGATAAAAAAATATGTGCACAGTTTCCCCAACATGAGGCATGTAAGGGTGAGATGCTTTAGATGAAAAATATGTGCATAGTTCCCCAAGCATGAGACCTGAAAGAACGAGATGCTTTAAATGAAAAATCGAATTTTACACAATTTCTCAAGCATGAGGCTTGTAAGGACGAGATGTTTTAGATAAAAAGTTTGGTTGTGCATAGCTCCCCGAGCATGAGGCTTGTAAGGGAGAGACACTTTAGGTAAAAGACTGTTTGAGCTTGCCCTTTTTCACTCATGTCTATATTAAACACAATACATAGACCATGTCAGCATTGTCCATTTCTAATGGTGTAAGCCCTATATTCCAGCAGTTTTGTTAGAGCTTGGTACTTGTATCAAATTATTTATAATAATTAAAAAACATTTCTTTATTATATTTGTCGTTCCAAAATAATAAATTCTCTAGAATAGTTAGTTTGTTTAAAGAAACATTAAGTATGACTTAATCATTAGATCTCATTAAACATAAGAATATATTCTAAAACTATCAATATTCTAACTTTATTGTGAAATGGGATAATATTAAAGCATTGAGACTATTATGTGGATAGACTGATGATCACATCTCATGGATCATGGATTAAGAGTTATCAAGTCTTCACATATTTATGAATATTAGAAGTAATATTTATACTATATTGACCCGCTATAAGAATACAGCATAGAATGTTAAGCAAAGTTTCATAATTTATTCTTATGGTGATAGTGGTGTAGATCACCCTTCAACATGAAACCACTATGGATCCTAGATGTGGAGTCGGGTACTTTATTGTTGATCAAACGTTATTCGTAACTTGATCACCATAAAGATAGTTGTTGGGTAGTCCATGAATCATGTTGATGGGCATGAGTAACCTATAGTCCTAGATGAAATTTGCCCATTCTATGTAACAAAATAAATGTTTAAGGGTCCAATATTGAACTGGATAAGGGTGACACGGTATATGTCTTGTGTTCAATATAGACATGAGGTCAAAAAGGTAACTATACACACAAGCATTATCACTTAAAGGTTTTGTCAAATCACATGACATTTTCGTGACTTTGGTAGAAGTAATGTCTTACTATATAGCGTTCATTGTTTATTATATAAATATGTTGTTTAATATAATTAACAATGTCACGAGAACCTACGTGGTCACACACATAAGAACAGATTTATAAAAGATAGGATAAATAAGTGAAATAAGGAACATCGCAAGGTGCAATGTACTTAAGAGATTCACAAAACATCGAATGGTAGGGTGCGCTTAAGAATATTGTAGAACATCGTAAAGTATGGTGCACTTAAGTGGAATATGGAATACGGTAAGGTAGTGTGCGCTTAAATGGAATATAGTACACCATAAGGTACGATCCACTTAAGTGACATTTTTCAGCTTGTAGTTCACACAAGTGGTTCTATTTAAGCGCACACTTGATAAAATTTACTTTGTGAAACTCTCTCTCTCTCTCTCTCTCTCTCACACACACACACACACACACATTTACATATACATACACACAAACACATACACACAACGTCTTTATTCGTAGCAGCTAGCATTAAGATTGAAGACACTCTGTTCGTGTAGACTGAGTAGAGACGTTATTTTTTTTTTCAACGCTCGTGGTTGTTTATCCAATCCCGCATCAAAAATTTTAATCGTTAGAAGAAGTAACTGTTTTTTTATCACTAATCATGCTCATTCGTAAAACTCGACTTAAAGAAATCTTTTCAGTATTATCCTTTTGAACCATCATTATTGTTATTATTATAAAATAAATAAGTCATTGTTGCAAAGTTTTTTTTATTCATTGTTGCAAAGTTTTTTTTTTAATAGTATAATAATATTTGTTATTGTTATCATTATAAAATTGATTAATCACTTTATTATAACATAATGGTTATAATGATTTATCGTGTTACTGTTTAAATAATACAACAATAATTTGATATTATTATTTATTTTAATTAATTTAGTATATTATTATCGTGTTACTATATATATATATATATATATATATATATATATATATATATATATATATATATATATATATATATATATATATAATGCTTTTAAATTGATTTTAATATATTTAAATTTAATAAATAAACTAAATATGATAAAAAAGTAATTAAATAAATTTAGATAAATTATAGAAAAATTAATTGATACTATTAAAAAATTAATTTTAACCTAAAAATAAATATCATGCAAAATAACTGAAGCTCAAAATCTTAAATATTATATATTTCTTTTTTTTCTTCCACTTAGTTATTTACTTTCCTGTTATTTATTTATTTTACTT